CTTTTAATAGGTAAAGGTTGAAGGTTACTTTTGTTAAAACTGTTCTAGATGTAGACTGGTGTAACAGCAACGTCTGTTGCTGATACCTTTCTAAGAGCATTTTAGCAATAACGTAGGCAAAGAGTAAGTAGAAAAAAACTGTGTAAAGTTGAAATATTTCGGAAAAATATATATTGAAAACTACTGTTCCAATAGCGAGCAGAGTAGATGACGTAAATAACACAACGCTGGTGCAATAAACTAAAATTGTTAAGATAATGGCCACTAAATAGTGGCTATAGTTGGAAACTTTCGAATCAACTTTGTTTAACTTTTCCAGCAAATGAAACCATCTTTTTCTTTTAACTATTGTCAGAATAATAAGGGCGTAGAAGGTATAACTGTACATGTTAATTAGTCTAATACAATAAAGCAAAAATCGTACAGGGTCAACAGTGGTTAATTCAGCAAGGTTGTAATAAAAGCTACGCACAACGCATGCTGTATACAATGACCACATGCAAATCTGCGCGACTATTTCACTAGTTTTGCAATTTCGATTTTCTATAACTGACGGGGTTATTTTGGTTATATTCCCCAGCTTAAGGAGAATGCTGATTTGTTTCATATCTGACATCTTTTCACATGTGTGGTTCTACATGTTATATAATTTTTATTCTAATACATCGAATTATATAATTGATGATGCTAGTCAAAAGTATATAATCAAAACCAAAAAGACGTGGATACCACTCATGTATTCCTGTCATATTCTTTTAGATTTTGTGTAGGATTACCTTTACACCGATTTTGTATCATAAATATTATGCATAATTCAACTCCATCAATTTCATAAATATCCAATGTTTTGTAGAACTATGTTCTAATTATGTTCACTGAAACGTCATTACACCTAAAGCGTTTGAAGTAGGGGAGAATGGGGTCATGGGAGTCCGCGGTCAATGGTGTGTCGTTACTTAATTTTTTACTGGCCGCTGCCGATCATTTGGACACTAACAAAATTATTTATTTGGATATAGGCCTATTTCCTTGGAAATGGGAGAGCTAAACTGCATGTTCCCCCACATGGTGCTATCTGTCACACCAAACACATCGAAGATCACTGACAAAAACGCATAAATTAAACATTGCCGAAGTTGAGAATGCAATAGGGTCACAGCACGAGAGCGAAGATGACATCATGACTGACTGAAAGTAGACTTACATAGACTGGACATGGGAATTTTTTTAAGTCCCACCTTCTTTGGCAGTCAGCAAAAGGTCCAACTTACTTCAAAATTTAGCAGTAATTCGGGTAGTGCTTCGCCGTGGAAGATTATCGTTGTTCGATGGGGCAGCGTGACGGCTCCAAATTTAGCTCCAGGTGCTTCCACTTTTATTGGGATTTAACATTTCATAACATACTTTTGTAGAATGTCAAAGATATTCACTATAAGCACACGTGCAAGTACTCGGGTATTTGCATAATGCATCGAATACTCGGTCATATTCTTCCGCTGCTAGGTGATTTTGGTAAGATCACTATTCCTTCAAAACTACAGCCTTAGGTAGTGATAAAACCAGTCATGAGTAAAAACTATTAAGATGTTCGTGTCGAATTATCTTGACGTCTTCCACAGGGTGAAACTAACTTAACTATGAAATATCGTAAAGGCATCCCGGAAATTACATCATCAATTTCAAAAAACTAATAAACCCAGTTGAATGGAAGTGCGCTTACACAAATATTCTGTCCTTGTGTTCTAAATTGAATGAGTTTACCTTATATATGGAATCCTATAAACTCGACATCATATTAATCTCTGAATCATGGCTGATAAATTCTATTCAGAATTCCTGTGTTAATATTTGTAATTATACCTTGTTTCGCTCAGAGAAGGCGAATGCTATGAAAGGTGAACGCACCTGTATATACAAGGTGATTGCGAAATACATGCAAAAAAAATGGGGAATAGCTCACAATATGATTATGTCACTGGCGAAAATTCACGGTCCTAAGTGGTAGCAGTGTCTAGAAAAAATTATTTGAAATTAAATGTAAATTGTTATACGCGCCGCTGGTAATGTTTCGTGACCTACATAATTACTGCAATGAATGGGCAGGGGCGAAGATTGCCATCAGTGATACAGCATCTCCGAGATCATGGTACCTTCAACCTCAAACTCACGATCGTGGTCGTGATGGGACAGAAAAAAGAAATTGGATTGTCGCAGCTTGTAGTGCATTCTACATTAAAAGAACACGGTCACATCCATACCACGTTAATTATCTACGTTGTGTAACTAACTTTTTGTACGATGGAACTCCACATAGTCGTCAACAAGTACGATTTCAAGAGACGGTTTTCGATAAATGTGTATCGGTTGGATGAAACAATTCGTTTGTGGAAATCAACAGTGTCCAGAAATTGTCGAAGAGCTTCAACAAGTGAAAGTGACAGCCGCTACTCCGGTATTTTTTTACCTATCAACAAACCCCTTGCGACGCTCTGACTCCTGTATTGCTAGTCAAGAACAACATTTTGAAAAAAAAGGTAGTAGCATTCTAAGTTGCTCTTATTTCTGTTCCAATAAACAATGTAAAATCGTTGTGACAAGGACCACACATTCGACGGAATCAAAATTACCAAAAAACTTTCACACTGACCTTTAACGATGAATGAGTAAATGAATGAACGAATGATAAGCAGCAAAAAGTCGGTTTTACTTTTAATTGAAACTGAAAGTGTTTAGGTCGTTTTTATTCGAACATTTTTTCAACTCTGCTTACAAGATGGTTCAGTGCCTTCGTATCGACGGTGGTTCATGGGGGTTTTGCCCCATTCGATTTTTAATTTGTTTTTTCTATATTTCGGCTCTACTAGGGTGGGGGATGCCGTGGTTATATTTGCATATATTTCGCAGTCAGCCTGTATATCAGTCATAACCAAAGGGCGGCGACCTTGGAGTTGAGAACTGTGCGGACTACCACATGTATGCACATGACCAGTGCGGCACGGTGTCGATCAATTCGTTGGCCGACTACACTGCATTGGGATCGCAGTCTTATCGCTTGTTTTTCAGGTGCAATACGCACCTGTACTAAGGCGTCGAGTACTCCTTGCACATCAAACGCTTAGAAGTGGCGCAGTCGGGGCAGTGTTCATTTGTAAAATAGCAAATTAGTAACAAAAATGTGTTTAATATTTTAGTTTCTTTTTATTTATATATATCTGTGTGGAGGTTTTCCAGTATACTTTTCATTTTTGCGAATCTTATTTTGATTTTTTTATTTCATTTTTAATAGAAGCAGCATTTTATATTATTTTTTTATAATATTTAACATTGCACAAAATTGTCAAGATTCATCGAAAACCATAGGTTATTTGCACTCTGAAACTTTAAAGTTGCATGGTGCTTTATCAAAATTTAAAAATATTGTGACCCAATTTAAAAGGCTTCCAGGTGAATTTGGGAAGAAGTTAAAAATGAAAGTAGAATCTGTTTTTAGTAGCACTCCTGGTTTAAACACTGCATCAAGTTTGCGACGGCATGACAGAGCCAAACATTAGAACAAAATACATATTAAAATTTCCTCTCATTTTTTAATTACAGTCCCACAACCAGTTGTGACGTGGATCGTTCATGTTTTAAATTGAAAGACTTATTAACCCCCAAAAGAACACGTTTTACAGAGGAAAATCTCGAGCGAGCTCTAGACCTTGACCGCTCTGCGAAAACTGTGTGTACGGCTATGAATTCAAACGGCTTCGCCGTTCTCTGGTCATAACCTACAATCCGACTATAAGGTTGAGGTACTTGCAACCGTTGAGCCTAATATAAGAGTAACTTGCTTAAAAATCTTTAATAAATACTTTTCCATAACTGTTTCTTGTATTTATCGACCTCCAAATAGCCCCCCTGAGTCAGATTCTCAGTTATATTTGAATTTGAACAATGAATTGAGAGATATGAAAATGTTGTTATAATGGGTGATTTTAATTTTCCGAACCTCCAGTGCCCTCTCCAGTGTTACCTGTAACTGTAAATTCGGACTATTTATTTAGGTATAGATTTTTTCCGTGATTCGCATTTATACCAATTTGTTAATGAACCCATCCAACAGAACTGATGGGAATAATGCTGGGAGTTAAATCGTTGCTGAACGTGAAATCGGCAACAAATGAATACGCATACTTACTGACAGCAAGTCTGCACTACTAGCCCTGGACAGCTGTATGGTTCGATCCGGGCTGGTTTAGGAGTGCAGACAAACGCTAAGGTATGTAATGCAGAGGAATAGTGTAGAACTATGTTGGATCAAAGGACACATTGGCAACGAAGGAAACAAGAGAGCAGATGAGATGGCGAAGCGAGCTGTGCGCATGCCCTTCTGGGGACCCGAACCGGCAATCACGCCTTCGGTCGCCCTCTCTAACGAACTCGTAAAGCAATATACCCATATACGCCATGAGCAAATATGGACGACCTTGAGCAGCTGTCGGCAAAGTAGACCTTGTATGGCGACACAAGACAGTAAGTTGACGAAATTTTATTTCTCACTTTCAAAGGACAAATTGCGTAACTGGTAGGATTCCTTACGGGACATTACTAGTTTAATAAACACCTACATACGATAGGGGTGGTAACACATCCAATCTGTCGTGGATGCAATGACAAGGAGGAAACAGCTGAGCACATTCTTCATGAGTGTCAAGCCCTAGCCTCCTACAGAAAATCCATACTACGGGACATCTGGCCAAGTATGGCAAAAATCAGGCAGTTTCCACCCTCTGCATTACTCAAGTACATTCAAGCAGTTGGGTGACTTGACGAGTAGAGGAGCGGGAAAATAACCTGATATGGACTTGGGGAATGTACAATGGGCCCCCGGCTGGCTACGGTCAGCCCCCATAAATTAAGAATCCAATCCAATCCAGAACTCACTCGTTATCGTGAAAATCAGGTTCCTTCTCTTCTTGACCTGGTCTTTGTTTCTGCCTTGCGGCTTGTCAGTAGGTATGTGCGATCCTTCTCTTCCTTTTGAGAAATCTGACCATATGATACTAAATGGTAAAATTCAATTTTCAATTGAAGCTATCAGTTAATCTCAGACTTATCAATATAAGACCAGGGTTAATTATGACTATTTGCGTAAGGAAATTTGTGATTCTAATTGACCCATTTCAAGCGATCCTGAGTCATCATGGAATTTATTTTATAACCAGTTTTCTTCCCTGTTGACTAAATGCTCAGTTGTTAAAAAAAGTTTACAATAGTCCGGGCAAACCATGGATTGACTTAGCACTGTTGAAACAAATCCAGCACAAAAACAAACTTTGGCTGAAATTTAGAAAATCTCGTAGAACGGAAGATTATCGTATACATCGATCATTTTCGAATTCTCTGTCAATAAGTTACTCTAAGGCTAGGTCGTCCTATGAAAATTCTATTGCTGAAAATTCTGAGAATTGCAAACGCTTATTCAGGTATGAATGTTCGTTCTCCAATTTGCACTAAAATTGATATACCACTGTTAAAGCGAACTGATGATACCCCTTGTACCGATTATAACGACGTTGCTTCTATTTTTGCTTACACCTTTGCTGGTGCTTTCGCTATTCAGCCCACTTTTTTCTCGCCAAACTTTTCTACTGAGAGGAACCTTAAGTCGATCGCCAGCCTGCAGTTTGTCTTAAACTAGTAGCTGCCGCTATCAATGATCTTAAGGAGACATCAGCACCTGGTTTGGATAAAATTTCTCCAAAGCTACTGAAAATTAGTTGTGACCATTTTGCACCTTGTCTTTCCAATATAATACAACAATCCCTCGACTGTTGCCGAGTACCACCTGCCTGGTTACTTTCAGTCGTTATACCTGTTTACAAAAAAGGCGACAGTCTGTCATTTTAAAAATAATAGAATCAATTATTGCCAAAGAACTTAGAAAATTTGTCTCGGAAAACAATTTAATTTCCGATATCCAACACGGCTTTAATGCAGGCAAATCAGTTATTACCAACCTACTGTGTAGTTTAAACAACTGGACTCGCAGTGTTGACCTTAATCTTCCTGTGAATGTACTGGACCTTGATTTTGCCAGAGCAGTCCTCTAAACCGTCTGCTCTTTAAACTTGAGCACTGTGGCATTCGAAGCAAACTATTACCATGGTTTGAAAATTATATAACCAATAAACACTTTTGCGTAAGGGTAGGCGAAAGTCTGTGTGGGAATGTTAAGATCCTTGGTGGGGTTCCGCAGGGCTCAGTATTAGGGCCCCTCTTGTTTTTGTTGTATATCGCTGATTTACCAACTCACTTCTCCTCTACCATTTCAATGTTTGCTAATGATACTAAATTATATGTCAACCCGCCTACTAATTACGCCCAGCTTACAAAAGATCTAGAGGCTCTCAAAGCATGGTGTTCCGATTGGCTGCTACTTTTAAATTCTGACAAATGCACGGTTCTCCATCTGAGTAAGAATAACCCTATGCTTAGTTACAACATTGCGGGAGGACCTTTAACTGTAGTGGATTATCAAAACGATTTAGGTATTATTATTTTTTCCGACCTCAAATGGAAATTGTCTCGGTAACAAAGAAAGCTAATTCTATGTTGTTGCTAATTATTAGCCGCTCTTTTCGTAATTCTACTCCCTCCACTGGTGCTAAACTGTTTCGGATGTACTTTAGGCCAAAATTAGAGTTTGCCGCTCCAGCCTGGTCGCCGTATTTTGCTAAGGACATTAGCACTTTGGAGCGAGTCCAGCGATGGGCACTAAGCTGGCTCCTGTTTTTTAGACACAGACCGTATGAGGAACAGTTATCTATTATGAAGTTCCTGTAGTTGTATAGAAGGCGAATACGTAGAAACCTTATTCTCACCTATTGAGCTTTTAGGGATCAGCCGATTATTAACTTCTTCACACTGAATAATGACGCGAAACTTTAAGGGCATCATTGGAAATTCCACAAGAAACAATATCGTATTCTTTCTCGACAGCAGTTTAGTTTAGTTTAGTCTTGTCGGGTTTTAATCACTGAAACGCCTTATCACGGAACGACGTGGAATCGCCTAACGTCAACTCATTTATAATACTGTTTTTTTTTTTGTTGGGGCTGCGGCGATCCTTTCGTGTTACAAAATGTAAAACCCGGGTTTTAGGTAGTTAGAGATGGCTAGAAAAGGTACGAAGATTTTGTGAGCCACTAGGTTTCCCCGTGTTTCCTCAAAAAACATTCCAATTCTCGTTCATACATTTCTACGAGAGAGAGTTAGTACGGGAGCCTCCGTCAACGTTAAAGGTTTCATTCGATAACAAACATCACTAGTTGTGAAGAAAGTTGTTACCGTCGACGGTACTAGGCGAACCGTAAAGGAAATGGTCTATCTACCCATAACTCTTAAGTCGATGGTAAGACTCTTGCTATTCCATATTATTCCAGGTTTTTGGAAGAAAAGTATCTAAGGTTTTTTCAAAAGTATGTTGCCCTGGGGCTACAAATATTGAGAATGACGATTGTTTTTAAAAAGTATTAATGGGAAATGTCATCGGGTAGTTGTCGCTGTACACAAAATCAGTGCCGTACCTCGGGGAATCGCAAAATTCTTAAAACTAGAAAATTGAAAAGAATACACAGGACACTCACTGCGAAGAACTTCTGCCACACTTCTTGTAGACGTAGGGGCTGACCTGATGTGTCTTAGAAGACACGGAGATTGGAGATCCAGCACACCCAGGCAACATGATGTCGTCTTTTTCACGTGTATAAATGGTCATCAATTACGTCATAGTGACCAAAGATTTCACGTGATATTGACGTACCGATGACGGTCAAATGTCTCGTCCAGATGACGTCATTTTCTGACAAACTATTGACGTGATGTACTGACGTCTTATAGACGGCATTTATTGTCCATTTTAAGACGTTTTTTATATTTTGATGTTTAGAAAAAAATATGCAATAAATAAAACGCTGAAATACTTTTATATTTTTATGTTATTTACCTTAAATAAAATATTATAATTCGTTATAATCATCAGGTAAACCCCAAAACAAAATATGTATTAATTAAAGTTAAAGCAAATTAGTGTAAAAAAATTAAATTTACTACAATTTTGTACAACCAACAATGAACTTCAATAAACAAATAAAAAAATATATGTCAATTAAACAAATTAATGATAAACTACTTTTAAGAACACAAACAAAGCTACATACAGGTAATTACGAGTCAAATTACTATAAATAAAAAAAAGGATAATATACAATATATAATCAAAAATAAACGTTGCAATAAAATATGCTATTTAAAGAAAAATCAGTTTTAAAAACACAAAGAAATCTATTTAGTTACAAAGAATATTAAAAGAAAACTATAATAAACTATAAATCAGTCTTAAAAACACAAACAAATCTATTTACAAAAAATATATAAAAAAAAAAGTAGAATAAAGGGAAAAGACAGTTGAATCGCATTGTTGAAGTTACTTGCTTTGAAAATACACTGTAAAACTTTCTAATTCACGACGACTTGACTGTCCCCAACACACAAAAATGTACCGTTAAGAATTAATTCTGTTTTAACAATCATATTAATAACCTAACTTTTTTAAGTTTGCCTTAATTTATTGCACTGAAAAGAAAAACCCATTAGAGTGCATGGATTAATGGAAATGCAATCATTTTTTCGTCTATGGGCAATAATAACCAAATTATTAAATTTAAGGGATTACAGCTTAAAGCAGAAGACAAATTCTGCATTTTAAAAATGCTAAATTTACTTGAATCTAACGGATAATCGTAAAATGGTTGCATTGACAAAAACGTATAGCCTATCAGGAAAATCTCGTTGTCAATACTTTTTACAATGAAGCGAAATGTGCCATGTATAGTAAGTTATCAAAAATATCGTAGTATTACAGGCATCTACATGTATATAATATCCAATATTATGTGTTGCATTTCCGGAAGCGGCCACTGACCCTTTTGGGTATCTTTACCTGATTTTGTAAATAGCACTGTAATTTTAGTACTTCTGTAACCGTCCTATATTAAACATCAAAACCGAACGCTTTCAATTATAACAAACAAAGGTCCTTCGAGCAATATCAAGGTACAATTCGGAAGACCATACATGGTCGTATCAACCGGATTACAAAAAACGTTGGTTCTACGATTCGGATTGTACGAAACATTGACACTTCAAGCCGGAACATTGGTCCCTCGAGCCGGAACAATTATGTTATATGTATATATGAATTCATTGTATTTTTTTAACTTACAAAGAAATCTGCTTATTCTAATAGGCAAAGATAATCTTGTAATTCGTCAAAATTTGTTTAGGTGTGGTCTTGGCGACATAACTTCTATTTTTGTTTACTTTTTCAGTTGTCAGATTTGATGACGTTTCCACGTTGGAGATTTTTTCACTCGTTTCCTTTAGCATTTCTTTCGTTTCGCACATGTGTTTTGTATTTGTTTCAAATCTAGAATAAAACTATGTTCATTAGCATTGGTACATAAATAATTGCAGTAATATACCTTTTTTTATGGCGCCTCATTTTCAAAACCAATCACCGTAAGTTCTTCATAATCAGTGGGAGTATCTTCAGTGATTAATGGTGGTCTTTCTTAAAAAGACTGCTTTTGTTATCTACGTACTGTTATCAAAAATAACAGAAACATGTAAAAATTAAAATGATTACTTTATTAGATATTAACTTACCTAGTGTAAATAAGTATAACCCACACTGTACAGAAATTTTCACAAAACTGCGTTAAAAATGAAGTGAGTAACGGATACACGAGAAAGTTTCGGCAGTTGAGAACCAACTGGAAATATTGGGATGCTTCACTGTGAAGTGCAATAAACATAAGTACCGAAAAAAGGGAAAGACCGATTGCACGCCTCAAACATCTGATGTATTGTATGGTAAATACGGAAGTTGAGCATTATTTTTTCATTAGATGAAATAAATTTAATAAAACTAAATATTAAATCACTCTCCAATTTTTCTGGTAACCATCATCACTTTATAAACGTCTTTATAAAATCAAAATTCGACGAAGGAATTCTTCAAAACCTTGTCCCGTTTTAGGGACAATGGACAAAGAATTTTTATGACTTTGTTTGTGTCGTGGGGTCTTTTCACTATTATACGCTCAACCCCGGATGTTCTATTTATAATTTGCCAAGCAGGTACTTACAAAATAACACTTCCAGAGTATAAACAAGTTTTCAGAAATAATTATTTTATTAGAAATTATTAGATGAAAAAACTTGTCTTTGGTGTATTTCTAATAAAGCCGTTGTTTTTTTTTTGCTCTAAAGATAATTAAGCATTATGAAGGACACTTTTTAAAGAATACGACGATCCACATCTAATTGATCATATAATCTATAAAAAATGACCAAGAAAGGACGACCTTTTGACGTCATTAATTGACGTCAGAAGTAAGTCATAAAAATCTCGTCATTATCACGTGATTTTTTGGGCGAATGACGTCGCCGACGAGTTATGACCAAAAATTGACGTGAATTAGACGACAGTCTGCTGCTTGGGCAGTTGCAAAGGGACGCTGGCATCTTCTGATGTCACAAGCGTTTCAGATCAAAATGGTGCGACTTGTTCTAACGCTGCTGAAATTTTGCATTTCTACAAAGTGTAAATGTTTCCTCTGATCCTTCCGTTAGTAGTTTAACAATTAATGAAAATGTTGTGGACTATTCCAAGAATGGAATAAATTCTAGCTCTGAGAGCTTATTTAATTTTAGCGTTTGTTCAAATTGTACATTTAATATTAGCATCATTTCAACAGAGAATGAAATAATTTCAGATTTCATTCTCTATTCTTCTGATAAAAATTTAGATATTTTTTCTGCTAGAAATCTAAGTTACTCCTATTATTTTTAGTCCTAGCAGAAAATGTAACCAAATTTTTCCTAGTAACGGGAACGTCGATCTTACGGTTGATAATTAAACAATGTCATACTTTTGTGACAGTTGGAGAAAAAAACTTTATAAGAATTAAGATATCCACGGCCCGCCCTCCGATTAATTCTAGCAGCCGTTGACTGCCTTATCTTATGTTTGGAATGATAACACTTCATCCCTCAGGAATGAAGAACACCCTTCAAGAGAATCTACAACAAGTCTCCCAAATCCTCCTTCTTAATGCAAAGATTTTCTTTAAACGGCCACTAGCGTCACTTTGTCTGGATATGTAGCCATACCAAACCTCAAGCAATCAAGCCATCCAACAACTAGGTCCGATTATTCGAACGTGTCAACTCGTTGTCTCAAGACTCTGCACCCCCTTTCCCAGAATGTCTACATTGACATTGTTAGTGGAAGGTCGTACATCTCTTTAACTGTCCTGGTCTGGCAACCGATAGAAACAGATTCGCAGTACCTAACTTTCTGCAAGACTCTTTAGTTCGTTTTCTGGGTCAAATAGTTCGAACAGTGGCATCTCTCGTTTCTGTTGTACTTAGAATTTTATGTTAATATTTTACTTTCTTAGCATCGGCACTCTTTGAAACTGTAATTGTTTTACTGTACCAAATGGTCGCCAATAACCATATTAGTTGATGTGACCCGTTTATAAAAAACGTTAGCTGTAGACGTATAAACCTATTTGAATTATTGTTGTCATAGGTAAAATTGTTGGAAAAAACTTCAGCGTTGACTTGTAAATTTTATTTTTGCAAAAATTTTCAAAACAAGAAAAAATATTGTCAGGTATTTATAAATAAGACATTTTGAATTATTTATAGCTGCAGTAGAATTAGTAAACCTGTTATGATTGTGTCTAAAATATCGAAAATTATGGATCTGTCTA